ATCCACTTGACAGCTAGTCTATTCCGTATGTGGCCACAAAGGAAGGAACTATGAAGCCAGTAGTAAGAGAACTCTAAGGAGATACATGACAGGATGGCTAAAGATCATTGCCCATAATGTGCTGAGGCATATAAAAAGGCTGCATAGAAAAAGAAATACCAAGCTTAAACTGGTAAATATACATACTAGAACAGACAATAGGAGTATTTTAGTATCTTGCTAATTTGTTTTCTTCTTTTATTTTTTAGAGGTTTTTGCCTTAGGGCACGTGTACTCCCTGGAGAGAGACAGACAGAGAGAGGGAAAGTGAGAAATCCTCCCCCAAGGAGGGTAGCCACATTGCAATCCCTTCTCCTTCATTCTCCTGGGATCTTGTGCACACACACACACATGCGCCCGGTGTGATTTTCAAGCCACCAGGTCTGGGATTCAAACTGCGGTTGGTCATGTGGGAGTTCAGCGATGTAACTGCTATGCCATCTGCTGGTCTCAGTATCTTGCTAATTTGAATCACTCTATTCAGGACTAAGAGTCACACCAACATCTGAAAATCCCATTGATAAGGTCCATTTGATGACATCCATTGCCCCTTGATTTCCTTTCATTGTTACTGACTATCTTGGTGCTATTCTCGGCCTCCCCCAGGGGTGGAGTGAATGGTTTCTGACAGGGCTCTAGCTGAGATGAGGAATAACTCTGGCTGTGCTGGGTGGAGGGGCAAGGTGAAATTCAAGACCCTTATCATTAGTATTCTGTCCTTTACCCCATTGACAATTTTTATATTAATATTTACCATTTTAGAAAGAATACCATACTTCATTATTTCTGGGTAAATTATGAAACAAAATTACTACTCAGTTACAGCACTTGATCTTGAAGAAAAAGCATTGGAAAATGTAATTTATTCAATAGTGTAACATCATTTACCAGTAGCCAAATACAAATATAGACAATGTGTAAGTATAAATTATTTTAATTAAATCTTGTTTTTGTATAAGCCAAACCATCTGGTTTATACTTTTGTAAGTAAGATTATGACCATAATATCAGAGCAGAAGTTACACCAAGAACATCTTCTCTCTATTTCTTTTACTTTTCAGTTGAGACACTGTGGCAAAGTGGGTAAAAATACAGATTTTTTGTTGTTGTTAGTTAGGTAGTGTGAAGGTTAAGGAGCTGGTTTGAAGTCAATGGATCCAACATGGCAAATTGTGTTGTTCAAATCCTAGACCCAGCAGCTTGAAAACATGCTATAGGAATGTGCATACATGCTCAAAATCCTAGGAACAGACTGGAGGAGAAGGGATTGTGGCATGGCCATCTCCCATAGGGGGTACTTTCTCACTTTCCATTCCCCCCACTTCCCATGGTGAGTGAACTTGTCCACTAGCAAAGTCAAAACATTAAAATAGAACTTGTTAAGAAGTTTATTTTCTTTCATGAGCTAGGGGTGAGGGACACCTAACAGATCCACCCCCAACTTCAGCCAACTCCAGATTATGGGCCCACTTGTACCAAGTGAGAGGGAGGTCTCTGAATGCAAACCCAGAACCTTCCCATGTGGGTCAGATTTGAAGGACATTGCATTTTATGACAGTGCCACTGTTCAACCCCCAAGAATACAGATTTTAGTATAATATTGGGCCCTAGCACTGCAACTTAGTATTTTTAGCTGTCTGTCTTTAGACAACTTACATAAATTTTATGACCCTCAGTCTTTCTGTTTGAAAAATGAGGATAATTCTGACTTTATGATTGAGTTATTGTAAAGATAAACTTTATTTTATTTTTTATGCAAAGTATTTGCTACAGTGCTTTCGGTTATACATACTCAAAAAATGGTAGCTTTTAGTCTGGGGTTCACCATGACCTTCATGAAACAGTTATGTATATAAGCAGTAAAACTCTAGCCTATGTAAGATACATAAAAGTTTTTTTTTTTTTTAACCAATCATTTATTTTATAAATAAAGAAACAGAGTTTGGGATCGAGAAGGTCAGATACATTCAACATTACTGGTATTGACTGCTGGAGATAAAGTTAGTAAGTGATTAATTGTTTAACTTATACAAATTTTAAAATTCCTCTGTAATGGCCAAATATGAGAGAATGAAGTTTATTTTAAATGAAGAGCTAAATATGCCCAGGGTCAATGTAGCCGTAGATAGAGGAGTTTTTAGAGCAGTAGAGCATCTTGTATTTTTATGGATGGTTTAGGGGTAAATTAAAACGCTTCAGTGTCTTTTGTTTTATGGTAGTGTCTCTAGAAATGCAGGTTAGGAAAATTCTTAGGAAAACGATCCCTTGAAACACAGACCTATGAAGGCTGAAATAAAATATTATCCTAAGGTATTAAAAAACATACTGCTACTTGGTTTACTTAACATACCACACCAGTGACACATGGAAGGGTCATTTCTTTAAATACGTGGAACAATAACCAAGAAAATAAAAGACGTTCATTACAGATTGCCTAATTTCCTGATATCATAAGAATCCAAACACTGTCTTAAATTCCAAAGAAGTATAATTTATTTCCATAAAGTTCTATGACAGGGTATCCTTCTAAAATTCTGACAGCATTTCTTTGTCTGAGGAATCCTCCCTAGATGAGCAACAGCATCCTTTAAATACAATTATGGAGAGATGACTTCAGTGACTTGGCAAAACCTCAAAAGGGTAATGCCATTTGAGAACAATGTCATTGTTATTTCTTCTTTAAAAATAAAAAAGCTTCTGTTTGTCTCACAATGGGATAATTCCTCCTGTCTCCTCCTCCACTTTCCAATAAATAAATTAGGACTCTACCTTAGATTTAAAGAGGTTAAATAGTGGGAAGAATAGAAAAGAAATGACTAAGTAGAAGTAGGTGGGGCTGCCTAAGTGCAATGAAGAGAATTAGCAAAGGGAAACACACTGCAGGTATTGGAGGCACTCTAAATCCTCGGTTTCTTACATTCCAACTCTAGTTACCTTTTGAAATCTTTACATTTGAAGACTACTTTAAAATCTCTGCATTTTGACTATTTTAAAGAAACTGAATTAACCAAAGGTCAAAATTGTTTTATGTGGTAATACAGTTGCCCCTCTAGCCTTTTAAGTCTGACAGGTCCAGATAACTGGTGATCTATTTTAATTTCACACACGAGAACTATACGGGTAGTGGTGTAAAATGTAATGTATATGCCGTCATTTATGAACAGTGCATGGAGTGCCTCAGTGTACCACAGCATATTCACCAAAGTGAAATGAAATATTTGAAAATTCCAAGGGAAACACCGTAAGGTACCCGTTAACTGGAGTGGTTCATTGTTTTAAGATTACATTTGTTTTAAGATTGCATTTTCTAGAATTCACTAATGTTGGGGAAGTGGTGGTTCCAGAAAATTATATTTAGGGCTAGCAAGTGGTGGTTAAGGCACTGGACTCCCACATGGCCAACTGCAAATTGAGTCCTGAACCCAGTCACTTGAAAATCACAACAGGCACGTGTGCATGTGTGCCCAAAATTCCAAGAGGAGAATGGAAGAGAAGGGATGGCGGCATGGCCATTCCCCCAGTGAGATGATTTCTCACTTCCCTTTCACTGTCTTTCTCTGTCTCTCTCCTGTGAGTACATGTGCCATATGGCAAAATCCTTAAAAAAAAAAAAAACTACATTTGTCTTCATGCCTTTAAATGACACAGTATCTTTGCCAAGGTGGTTAACCCAAAAATGAAGAAATGAGAGTGGCAATATTGTATCTGAATACAAAGTTTAGAAAATTGCTCTTAACAAGTTATTTCCTAAAAATGACAGAAATATATGTTTATATTTTGATTCACAAGTATGATTTTTTTAATTGGCTCATAAGTTGTTAGGACATAAATTGTTATTTGGACCTACATACTTAATATCACAGAACTAAGGTATTTCTTTTGGCCTGGGATGTGACGGGGGGAGGGAGAAGGAGGAAGTCACCAGAAATACTATAGTTTCATTGGCAGCTTCTGTTCTGACATCTGCATAAATATATAAATAGTTGTCAGCATCAGAAATAAATGATGCTTTGTGCTCATTCACATCTAGAATCTAGCTAATGTTGGAGAAAAAGTCATTCTAGAAAATCTTATTTAGGGCCAGCAGGTGACATGGTAGTTAAGGTGCTGGATTTCCACATGGCTGACTGTGGTTTAAGTTTGGGACTTGGTGGCTTGAAAATACCAGGTGCCATGTACATGCATGCCCAAAATCCCGAGAAGAGAATAGAGAAGGGATTGTGGTGTGGCATCCCTCCTTGGGGAGTTATTTCTCACTTTTTATCTTTCTGTTTCTCCTTTCTCTCTAGAGAGAGCAGACATACCACCTTATAACAACAACAACAACAATAAAAACTAAAAAAAAAAAACAAACTATATTTAAACATATAATTCAGAACTTACATGAACATCCAGGATTCTGATATTCAGCTATCCACTAATTTAAAAGAAGTCCTTCATATATATATGAGCTTCAGAGAGGAAAAGTGAAATACAAAGTAAAGAAAGCCTGCCTTATTCTCTCTCTCTCTCTCTCTTAATCTCTTTAGTTTCTACTCTTTGTACTATTAGTATTCCCTACTCTATTTAGTTTCTATTCTTTGTACTATTAGTATTCCTTAGGCTAAATATACTCTTCATATAACACTTTAATATGTTCGTAGATAAACAACCCAGTAGAACTAGTCCTTTTCTATAAGGCAAAGTCCTATTTTTTGTATAGAGAAACCTCTTACATAACTTATTTTCAAAGATGATTCAGTGGTGGGTAGCTCATCGGAGTCGGCTACTAAATGGTGTATGTTTTAGCTGTGTATTATTAATCTGCACTTACAGATTCCACTGTTCCATAATATCTCACTCATGGCTTACCTCGATGCTATACCTTATCCCTTTAGGTAATTTCTTGGTACGATAAAAGGTGAGTTATTAAATGTGTATTTTAACGAAAACTCATAGCTCCTGAAAAGGTGCTACCTTACCATGGTGGTGGATTTGACGTAGATGTTGTTCCTCAGATGGCAGTTTCCGTCATTGGGCACCACTATACCTGCCAGTTTGCTATCAAGAGCAAGATGAGATGTCTGGTCTGTCATCACCAGCAGCAATCTTTTAGCTTCTTTTCGCCATCCAATATGACTCTTAAAATAAACATGTAATTAGACCTTGTACAATAACATAGTTCTATACTGTGGTCTCTGCCTCAAGGAAATGTTACATTGGAGTTGAAAAACATGACAGCAGGCTAGGATAATGTGCATGCACACAATGCTGCTTCATAAATAGCATTAACCGTCCTGTGCAGATAGTCCGTTTTACCACAGCCATTTGCCCACGTTAGTTCTTGGCTAGAGTCAAGTGTTCCACTGGAGGAAGAATAAGCCAGGTTATAAGGCAAGATAACAACATGCTGAGAATCAAAACGACAGTCTATTTCTGGTTCTTCCTTGGAGTGTCATACATGAAAAGAACAGCCCTTTGGAAAGGATTTTCCATGTGCATAAGCTATTCTTTCCCTTTATCTTTTCCTATTTATATCCCTCATCCAGTTTAGTTCTTTATACCAAACACAAGCCAAAATGAATAACGTAGGTGATGAGTAAGAGCTACGTGAATGATGTATTCTTCTATGCTGTTTTCACTCCATAAATTAAAGAGAAAATACAAAACCGAATTCTTCGAGGGTTTTGCATCTGAACAAACACTTAATTTTACACTTCTTACCTCACAAACAGCAGCCTGAAGCATGGCATCAAAACCTCCTTCAGGGGTATCTATGTTTCCAGAGATCTTTTGTCTGTGAACCGCTTTTTCAAACTCAGTGATGTTCTTGGTCAAAGACAGCACATGGATGTATCCATGGGGAGGCATACAGTCTAGGTTGTAGTCACTAAATGAAAAAAGTGCAAAGTCTGTTTTGCTATGCTTCTGTGAAAATTCTAGGTTACTACTAACAGTAAAATTGTGTAATTGATATAAGAAGGGGTAGTTTTTCTTTTTGTTTGCTTGTTTTTCTTGACCAGGGAAATTTTATTAGACAGAAAGCCTGTATAAAATGAAAGAGAAGTCTAATATTAGTGAATATTTCTTTGCAAGTAGGAAGCAGGATTCTAAAGTTTGGTGTTCAGAAAAAGGAAGATTAGACGTGTTTCTTTATTAGACGATAGCTAAGGGCTGTCCATAGGCTAAAATGCACTGTGAATTTTGAGGCAGAAGATAAGAATTTGCAATGATTTCCTGTCACAGTTAATCATAGAATATCTGAGAGACACTTTTTGGTAGTTTAGTTGAAATGTATTATTGTTTGAGTTTTTAAAAAAAATTCCAGTTTTTCTTTTTCCAGTTTGCTGTAGGGTACATGCAGAGAGACAGACAGACAGAGAAAGAGAGAAAGAATCTCTCCCCCTGGTAGAGCAAAGTCTCTCTCTCTCTCTCTTTCTCTCCTTTTTTTTTTTTTTTGAGAGGTTTTTGGTTTTTGCTATAGGTCAAAAAAGAGAGAGACAGAAAGTGAGAAATCACCCTCCTCCCCGGGAAGATGGCCACACAGCAACACCTTCTCCTCTGTTCTCCTCTCAGGATCGTGGGCACGCATGCACACGTGCCCAGAGGATCTGGGACTCGAACCGTGGTCAACTATATGGGAGTCCAGCGACACAGCCATTACACCAACTGCTGGTCCCGCAAAAATCTCTTAAAAAATTTTAAAATGATAAGAAAAAAGACTCATTCTGAGCAGTCAGATGCTCCTCTTTTAACCCAGTCACCATGTAGGAGCTGAGCTTTCTTTGTGATCACATCATAAACAACAGTTATGCAAGTCACAATACAGAAAGGGAGAGAGAGATACAATATTGGCAAGATGAATACTTTCAAACATGTCCCCCATTTTTTTTTTTTTTTTTGCTAGAGTGCACGTATGCTCACCAGAGGAAGACAGACAGAGAGGACGAGGATAGGGAGAAAGTACCTCCCATGGGGAATGGTCAGGCTGCAATCCCTTCTTCTCCATCTCTCCGTCCTTTGGGGATTTTGGGAGTGCACACACACACATGCCCAGCGTGTTTCTCAAGTCACTGGGTCCAGAACTCAAATCACATGGTCAGCCATGCGGGATCCAGCTGCCTTAGCCACCAGGCCACAGGCTGGTCCTCAAATCTTAATTAAATAAATTTGGAGGGAACCAGCAGTTAGCATAATGGCTATGTCACTGGACTCCCACGTAGTCGACCGCGGTTTGCGTCTTGGACCCGGTGGCTTAAAACTCACGCTGGGCGCGTGTGCGTGCGTGCCCAAGATCCCAAGAGGAGAATGGAGGAGAAGGGATTGCGGCGTGACTATCCCCCCTGGGGGGGTGATTTCTCGCCTTCTGTCTCTATGTCTCTCTCTGTCTGGGGAGCGCACGCACCCTATAGTGAAAAACCTCTCAAAAAAAAAAAATTTGGAGCAACTCAAAAGGAGAAATTCATAATTTCAGAGAGGTATATATATCTGTGGCAGCCTGACTATTGAAGATTTATTCAAAGGTACTAGTTTTAGGTAGAATTATTGGGTTATTGGGAAAGTCATGATGCATTTTTGCATAGAAAAACAGAAAAAAGTCATAACTTTCCCAGTGATCTAATATTGTGTGCATGGTAAAAATGGAATGAATGATATTCAAGGAAATATAAAATAAAAAGGCCATTTTAAAAGTAATCTAAGACATTTTAAGATAAGAGCAAACATCCTCCCTAAATATTTTTGATTCTTATTTAATAAGATAAAAATAAAAAATTGGTGAGGTTTTAAAAATACAAAAACAAAGTGAGGTCTCATGAGAAAAAGGAAATCATGGAATGTCCACATTGGAAACTAGATACCTGCACTGGTTGTGAATTCTTTCAGGATGGATGCTAATGTACGGTGAAACTGTTTTATCGACATATGAGCCAAATCCAAGGCGGAAGTCATGGGAAAAAAATGCCATTTTTCTTGATAAATCATTTCCAACAGAATTTAGTTTTTCTATATTATTGTGCATAGATGCTGAAACATCAACCAGATAATAAAGATCCACGGGGTATTTCTTCAGAAGGTGAATTTTCAGCATAAAATTGACTTCTGCTCCTGATTCAAAGAAAGAAAAACTTCAAGTCGTCTTCATTTAACACATGTCAGGATAAGCGGTCAATAAATCAATTACATGTCAGTATCTAGAACATCTGTCACAAATTTGCACCTAATACAATGCAGAACATTCTAGACTAATTATAAGGTGATTAGAAAACCAAGTCAACTTATGAGTCTCCAAACTCTGCAGTGCAGTTCTCACAATTCTGTAGGTTACGTAGAGACCATGCTAAGTGGACGAGCTCAGTATAAATGTAACAGCACACCATATGTGACCCTGCATTGCCCTTAGTAGCGAGAACAACACAGTAGAAAACTGTGAGCAGCATTCTATCTCAGGAGAATTACATGAAATGATACTTGTGAAATGATCTGAGCAAAACTAGAAAGATATCTTAAGAAAAACACGGCAGAGGGGGAGAGATAGGGAATCAAGGATGGCAAAAAAGAGCAAAATATATGGGAAACAAGAAATGGAAAATTATTTGTTGATGATAACATGTATGTTGATGTGCTTGCTTGAACCAATATACAGTGTATTCTGGATGGGAAATCTCATGTTGTATACTGTAATGATGTATAGTGAATGAATGCAAATAAATAAATTTAGATAAAAATAAATAAATAAACCGGGATTTTTCTATACCACCTATCCATTAGAACTACCCCAGAAAGCATTTGTATTTTTCTATTATGAGGACCTGCTCCAGACCAATTAGCTATTAAATCATAATCTGCTTATTAAATCAAAATTGTTGTATTATTAAAAAAAAAAGAAAAAGAAAAAAACGACCTCTCGTTGGATAGAAGTGTAAATTGATTCTTTTAGGTGAAGTTATATTTACATATGAGATGTGAAAATTCTGGTACTGGATAATATGTCAAGCTATTAAAGAATAAGTATTTCATCATGAATTAGCTGGTAAGATTCTTTCCATCAGTTAGCTAAGAGAAGGAATGAAACGGTGGCTAAAGCGTGGTACACAGCAGTGCCGCGTGGAGGACCTGCAGAATCTAGGGGACAGCACTTGTCTAAGACACAGTGTTCGATCAACATAGTTGAAGAGAAATCCTAGAGACAAGGCACTGGCTTTGGGCGAAAAGAACTGGATGAGAAAACCAAAGTGGTGAGGAGACTGCCAAGGACATCTGTCTGCAATGCACTTTTATTTAGTTCTCTGTCACAGTTTTATTTGATAGAGGAATCTGGTTATCTTTAGCACCCTAAATGTTGATAGCTTGCTTTTAATGAAAAGTATATGGTGATAATGCTATCTCCCCTGCCAGGAGTATATGGTGAAAAGCTGTCAGTTTAAATGCAGGTAATCATGAACTTTAGCTTTATTTAAAAACAAACAAACAAACAAACAAACAAACAACTTTGACTTCTGTGTGTGTTTGTGAAAGAGAGAGTGAAAGAGAGGGAGAGAGAGAGAAACAGGTACTCTTAACAGTCTTGTCATGCCCTATTTCTCCTAGTCCCTGCCCCTGCCTTTCAGCCAGCCAGGATCATGGACCCACACATATATGCCTTAGCAGGTGTCAAGTCAGTCCAGGATTCAAACCATGGCCGTCCATTTGACTCCAGTATTGCAGAATAGTACCTTACCACTTGCACCACTGCAGCTGGGCCAGATCTCATTTTTTTTAAATAATAATTTGCAGTAATTTTCAAAGTTATACATTATTTGTGGGGAACAATAATAATAAATTATCTGTGGGGAATATCTTGAGTGAGCAATTAAAACTTATTTAGGGAATCTTTTCATTTATCAAATCATATTTTTCAGTCTTAGTGCACTTAAAAGTAGCCATTTTTTTAAAACATTATTTCACACATCAGATGTTCTCAGCTGAATTCCCTAATGTATTTAAGGCAGTTATATTTTACCAGAAAATATTAAGAATTATGGTAGAAAACGGGTATTCATTCATTTTTAATTTGCTTTTACATGCAGGGAACTCCTTTAGTATAACACCCCTAGCTTATTGGCTCGAGTTTGGAAGGAGAAATTGGGCATGTGTAGCCCAGACCAGCCCAGCCTGTTGTCACACCCATTTCCTTTGAAACTGGGCCACCGATAGAGAGCGTGTGCTCTGCTCAGCTTCTGGGCTTCTGATGAAAGGCCTGCTCCTGTGGAAGTGTTTTATAATCTAGATGGAGAAATTAAACTCAGGAGACTGTTCAGAGACTGATATACTGGGCAAGCTCAGTGAGGAGTAGAAGTAGAACACAATTGGGAAATGTGCTTCATGTAGAAGGACCTGAACTTTAATGTGTGGGTCAGCATTCAAAAAAAAAAAATGAATATAAATCGTGTAGTTGTTTATTTGACTGTTGACTTGTGCATACTGCTGAAGGCCTTAGGCACTGGCTCCATGGTATTTTTATCTTGGTGAATCATTGCAGTTTATGGTGGTTCTGTCTAAAGATGAATGACTATCTGTTTTCATAGAGGCATTGCTTGATGCACCAGATATTCAGGATATTATTGTGCAGGGGCCTTAGCAAAAGTATGGGTTGGTGATCTCAGCACACAGGCAAAATCTGTCTAGCATCAGCAAAGGCACAGTCCTTGGAGGCCCAAGCTATTCAGGGCGCTTTAGCCAAATGGTAGTAGCCACCCAGGGGCCCTCACAGACACCAGATGCTCATAGTCTAGTAAGCAAATTCTGGTCTTACTGGCCTCAGCAAAGAAGAGGGCTATGAGTTAGCCTTACCAAAGGGTCAGGATTTGAGCCTGTGAGCTATTGTGGCTGAAATTTGAAATAGATAGATGCTGGTCTTGGCACATGTATCTGGGTCAGTGGAAAACTTCAGCATGGGCTGAGGCCTCAGTGAAACACATTTTCAATAGAGAGCAAAAGAGAATATTTCTATATGTCGACCTTTTAGTTGTTGTGGCAGAGAACACGAATTGCTACTATTATGCTGCAAGTTCCCTGAATTTCCTATGAGATTCTAGTTTTAGGGAGTCAGCTCAAGGTAGGTAATCCTAGGTAGGCTGACCCCAAATCCCACTTTGGTTTTTAAGGAAGGAAATGAAAGTATCGAATTTGGATTACCATGTCTCTTTGCCCATGACCTTCAGCCAGTCCCTATGGTATGTTCACAAGTTGGCTTTTGGCTAGGATAATATGAGAAGAAGAAAACTTTCCTTGGAAGCAGATTTTTAAAAAATAATTATTGAATTTTATTTATTTATTATCATTATTTTAATTTGCTATAGAGCACATGTCCTCTTCAGAGAGAGAGAGAGAGAAGGAAAAGTGAGAGAGCCAGTTGCCAGGTCCGAGATTTGAACCGCTTGTGGCGTCCAGTGGCTTAACCAGTATGCCACCTTCTGGCCCCTCAGAGGTAGATGTTTTTGTAATTGATATTCCATAATAAGAAGCATTAAAATACATTTTCATGGCCATGAGAATTCTGTGTCCCTAGATAAAACACTGGGGTGCTACCAACACAGGGTTCAAAAGCCAGATGACGTTAAAGAGTTTTTAAACATATTGGATTAGAATGAGACACATCTAAATATAAGATGTAATATCCATGACTGTCACTGTTGTGAGGTTATTAATGAAGGCAGCAATGTCTTACATGAGAGAGGAGCTATACATATCTAGATTGTGTTCATAGATTTTTGAAAAACTGGCATAGATTAGCTGATAAATCCAAGAAAAAAACTTACCAGCAAGCTTCTTCTAAATTATCACTGAATCTTTGCCATGGTCTTCGGTAACAGCCTTTGGACTGGCATATGTTCTCAGTTGTGGGAACATATTTAGCCTAGAGTAACTACTGAATAATTTGGGATAAAAATTGAATTTGTATGGGCCAGTACCATGATAATCTTGTATATCCTAATAACTAGGAAACTTTTAAAAAGTGAGAAACAGTCTCTTTGGTGGAATTAAAATTGGATTTAACTGTAAAAATCTTAAAGGAACTATTATATATACCATTCTGGTAAGAAAAGCTCAAGGTTTGGCTGAAGAAATCGGCTCCACCTAAGCATTGAGAATCTGTGAAATAAAGCAGATGAAAAAACTGGACATGATAAATTTTTGGACCAATTTTTTTCTTTGAATTCACATGGTTAGATAATTTGATATTGGACTTAAATTCCTTTGGACTTTTCACTTAAGAATTTGGATGTTGGATATCTTTGAATTTTAACTTATATGAACTGAAAAAAATTTAGGCCTTAAAGTTCAAATTTCATGGGGACCAGCAGTTAGTGTAATGGCTATGTCACTGGACTCCCATCTAGTCGACTGCGGTTCGCGTCCCAGACCCGGTGGCTTAAAACTCACACCAGGCATGTGTGCATGCGTGCCCAAGATCCTGAGAGGAGAACGGAGAAGGGACTGCAGCGTGGCCATCCCCCCTGGGGGGGGGGGTGATTTCTCGCTTTCTGTCTCTCTGTCTCTCTCTTCTCCCTTTCTGTCTCTCTGTCTCTCTCTGTCTGTTCAGTGCACGCGCCCTACAGAAAAAAAAAAAAAAAATTCAAATTTCATGGAAAATTCAAAATGCTGAGAAATTTTTGGTGTAGTTGGGGGTTATTTTGGAATTTCATCACTTGGGTATCTCTCTCTCTCTCTCTTTTTTTTTTTTTTGAGAGAGTTTTGCTATTGGGTGTGTGCACTTGCCAGAGACAGAGAGAGACAGAGAGAAAATGAAAAATCCCCCCCAGGGGGGATGGCCATGCCACAATCCCTTCTCCATTGTCCTCTCAGGATTTTGGGCATACACACACGCACACCTCATATGAGTTTAAGCCCGCTGGATCTGGGACTTGAACCGTGGTTGACTATGTGGGAGTCCAGCAATGTAACCATTACACCATCTGCTGGTCCTCACTTGGGTATCTTAACATTTTCATGTAATCTCATTGTAGAACCCCTTATAAACAACATTAGACAAGGTACATGGCAACAGTTTGGGATGAGAAATAAAATAGGGTTTACATGTGGGCTTACAGTGACCTTGGAAATTA